TAGATTCATCAATTGTTTTAGCAAAAACAATTTGTTATTGCCTGTCTTGGAAGCATACAGGGTCTCAAGTTTATCCCACAGGCTTCTGGCATGTGTCTCGTTGATAATGTGATTCATAACATTATCTTCAACCCATTGGCGAATATAACCACAAACTTGTTGGTGCTCAAAGTCCCAATCTTCGTCTGACATGCTTTCTGGCTTTGCAGTTGCAAACACAGGTAAATGTAATTTCTTCACAAATAGAAGATCCTTCATCTTGGCCTTCCAAATGTGACAATTTCTACCATTCAATCGTACCATATTACTCATATTTGTCTCCATGTCAAATGTACTCAATCAACAACCTGGGCTCTGATACCACTTTGTTGGGAAAAATCCCACTACTTGTGACAATGAAAATCACAGACCCGACACAATGCACAAATACGAGAGGATACAAAATAGCCAAAAATAAATATGAATACAAGGGACACAAGATTTACGTGGAAAACCCCAAATCGGGGAAAAAACCACGGGACCACCACCAACCAAATAATCCACTATAATAAATCTTGGGTACAAAGTTTCAGGCTACCACACGAGCCAAACATCCACAAATCATCAAATGCAATAATTCCAGGCCAAAGACTTCTATTATATTCCACAAGCCCAAAAGATGCCTGGAACAAACAAGCTGACCTCCAATAATATTTGATGAAGAAACCACCCAAGAAGTTAGACAAATTCACGGCTAAAATTCATCACACTTGAGTCAAAGGATGAAGAAACAAGATGAAGATGAATTCTTCCTCTGCTGCCGCCGAACTGCTGCCCTCCTCTATCACGCTTTTATTTTTTGTCTTGCATTCACCAACAAACCCAATTCACATATATTACATTATATATATATGCTTTAGGTTTCCTCATAAATGGGCTCAAATAATTAGAAAATTTCAGCCCATGCCAACAAGACAAATATATATATATATATATATATATATATATATATATATATATATAGTGGATATAAATAGGCTTGGTCTAAACTGGGCTATTTACCACATAGGAGGGAAGCCCAACCCAACACTACCTCACGTCACAAAACCCCATCTTCGATGCAAATTTTGAGCACTTTAATATTAGAATTTAAAAATGGTTTCTTCTGAAAAATTGTAGCATCATATCATGGTTACATTTTCAATACTTTTTGAATAACCTTAATTGGATTACTGTAGATAAAGTTATGGTCAAATAAATATCACTATAGTAAAAATTGTGAAAATAAATATTTTGATTGATTTTTAAATAAAATATGTCAGTTCGATATTAAACTAATAAAAGCTATATGAGTTACACTTGTAGAGAAGATGACACATATGGTTGTTTCATGAGAGATGAAGGCATGCATGAGGTGTTAATTGTCAGGGCATGAAAAGATGTAATGAATTACTTTACTTTAAGTTTTTATATATTTCTGCAAAAAAAAAAAAACAAAAAAACAAAAAAAACAAAAAAAAAAAAAAAACAAAAAACAAAAAACAAAAAAAAAAAAAAAACAAAAAACAAAAAAAAAAAAAACAAAAACAAAAAAAAAAAAAGTTTGTATACATCTTAAAATATTTAGTTACTTTTAAAAGTATATAATAATCATTGAGTTAATGTCACATGGGTTCTTCGAGTATAATTGTTTTGTCACATTTAATTTTAAACTTTCAAATTGATCATATATGATCCTTTAACTTTTAAATTTAACCATTTGTGGTCCAAGTTAACCACTGATGATGGTCCTTCAACTTTCGAAATTTAACCAGACGCGATCCCCTTGAAAGGACCATGGTTGGTTAAAATTTAATAGTTGAAAGATCGTAGATGATTAACTTGGACCACGAATGGTAAAAATTTAAAAGTCGAAGGACCACAAGTGGTCAATTTAACAGCATGTTTGGTTCACGAAATGAATTTTGGGGTAATAGGAATGTCATTCCATAAGGAATGAAATATGCAAGGAATAGAATAGGAATTGTATTCTATTGTTTAATTCGCGAAAGAAATAGACTTTAAGAATTATATTACAGTGTTTTGTTGATTTAAAGAATAGAAATGAAATATGTTTTAAAAGACATAAATACCTTTATAAAAATATGTGGTGGTGGCGGTGGCGGCGACGACGGTGGTGGTGGGGTGGTGGCGGCGGCAGTGACAGTGATGGTGGCGGTGGTGGTGGCGGTGAAATAGGAAATAAATTTAATTAGGGGTAAAATAAGAAATATATAAATGTGTGTGTGTTTGCGCGCGTATATATATATATATATATATATATATATATATATATATATATATATATATATATATATATATATGGAAGGGATCAGGTACATTTGAGGCTTCCTGTGCGGTTGTGCCGGTGGACTCACGTTAAGCATTAATCTAACGCACTTAAAGTACAGAACACACGCACATTAAGCAAACAAACAAAACACCTTCAGAACACAACCTCACGCATGTTAAGCACAAGCCTCACGCATGTTAAGTACAAGTCTCACGCATGTTAAGCACAAGACTCACACATGTTAAGCACAAAAACACATGCACCTTAAGTTTTAAAAACAACTCACATTAAGTACACACTCACGCACATTAAGTACAAAACTCACACACCTTAAGCACACGACTCACGCACATTAAACACACCACTCACTCACATTAAGCATAAAACTCATGCACTTTAAAGTTTCGACAACAATTCACATTTAGTACACACTCACGCACATTAAGCACAAAACTCACGCACATTACGCATAAGACTCACGCACATTAAGTACAAAACTCACGCACATTAAACATTACACACTCACGCACATTAAGCACAAATCTCACGCACATTAAGCACAAGACTCACACACATTAATCACTCACATAACCGCACGAAAAACACTTAAATGCACCTGAACCTGAACACACACACACACACACACACACACACACTATAACTTAAAATAATTGTTTGAATTTATTAATTCAGAAATAATTTTGGATGAAGAGTTTGAGTGTGTGTAGGAGTTGAAAATTAAATTTAAGGTGTAGGAATTAAAAATTATAGTTGAAAACATTTCAAAATTGATAAAATTATTCAGTTTCAACTCCACTGTAGTAATTTTCATAATTATCAGAGTCATAATTTATGGGATAAACAGAAGTTGAATGTCTGTAAGATTCTCTTATTTCATAATTTATGTGTGCATGTTGTTGATGAAATTTTGCTTCAAAATTTTCGTTCTTATCTTCATCATTATTACAACATGTGAAAAATGTAACATATGAACAAAGTAGCTGATGAGATAAGATTCATTCTTATCTTCATCCTGTAGATAGTAGTTAGTTGTACATCCTAGAACCTTCAATCTGTTGTATAAATATGTGTGATGATCTCTCCGTAGACACACACAACAATCATCTACCTTATGCATCCTAATTATATATATATATATATATATATATATATATATATATATATATATATATATATATATATATATATATAACCATGTATGTAAAGGTATTTTTGATATTTATAATATAAAAAATTATTCCCATAAGTATGGAAATAGCTAATACCAAGACCCTCCTTGGAATAGTTATTCTCCTTGCAAAGGGAATAGGTCATTTCTAGGAATAGTATTTTCATGACAAAGTGATGAACCATTTATTTCATAAACCAAACATGTCATAAAAATTTAAAATTAAACGTGATAAAATCACTATATTCAAGGACCTCATATAATATTAACTTAATATAAACATATCACTACAGTTACAATTTATTATTATTTTCAATGCATCTTGTAATTCTAACTTACTTTCAAAATATAATATCATTTAAGTTTGCTAAAAAAAAAAAGGGTTCCACTTTACTAAATGACAAGATGAGACTAGATACTAAGAAAGGTACAAATTTTAGAATTCTTACAATTTATAAACTCTTTAAAAAAAAGTCAAATATAGACTACCACATCATTTTGCAATCCACATCTGAATTGCCTAATAGCATACAGGGTCGGAGCTAGAAATTTTTTCAATAGGGGCGGAACATTACAACAAAAAAGATAGTTTAAAAAAAAATCAAACAAACCTCAAAAAAAAAAAAAAAATCAAACACTTAGAAAGTATAAATATAAATATTATTAGATATGAGAAAAAAATATAACATACCAAAACTTTATAAAAGGTTCATAACAAAATATGAAATATAATTAAGTTCCAACACTAATCACATTAAGTATACACCCATACACAAGACTGCAAGAGTGCTTAATTATATATATATATATATATATATATATATATATATATATATATAAGGGTTATATAAGGGGTGGGGTAGGAGAAGGGGGGCAGCTGTCCCCTTTTGCCTCTATTGTAGTTTCGCCCCTGAGAGCATCCACATTTGTAATTTTTCACAGTTTTTGAGAAGAACATAGTTTATAGGGAAGAGAGAGAAGATGATTTACTCCTGTAAGAATGATTTTTTGTATAACCCAGCAGAAAAGAAGAAAGGAAAATGAAAGGTGCAGCCGCGTGAGTAGGCTACACAGACCGCGCCCAGCCAGACGCGTGCAGTGCACGCTCGCTGATGCGTCTGACGTTTTTCTTCACGTCAGACTTGCCTATTTATTTATTTTTTTTTTCCCTTTTCCTTCTTTCTTTCACTCCTCTCTCTCATAATTGACACTTCAAAAATCACTACTATTAGAGATAGTTGCATTGCTTTTGGTGCACGTTCATTAGGCATTGCATTTGTGCAATTTGGTCCAATATAACTCAAATTAAATAATGAATGGATTTTCTACCTTAAAGAGATCCTTTCTCGATAAAATATTGCACAAATTCTTTCAAAAGGTTGAACCCCAATCCTAACCTAGCTTTACACACAAGAAGTCAGGAATCATCAAGATCAAAGCATTTACAAAAGTTTGAGTATTAAAAATAATATCACATTGATGATTTGATCAACTTTTAACAACATAGAAAAATGAGATGAAGTATATTAAATGAATGAACCCCAGAAAAAGAAGGTAGTTTATATGTTGATAGAAGGCATTTTACATGCTAATTAATACTTTAACTATCCTGCTTGAACTGAACTACATATTTACAACCACCACACACTTTAAAACTCTAATAGAGCTACCTAAACAACTTGTATAGTTCTACCATATTTTTTCCATAGAAACAGATAGACTAAACCACTTTTTTTTTTTTTCTTTCTTTGAATTTTATTCAGATGCTTTCTATACATCATATCCACCCATCAAATGGTTTCCACAAACAAAACCAGATGAATTTTCAGTCCAAGGTCTACAGCTGCAAAATGCATCAACAAAAGAATACCTGATGATCTTGGAGAATCCCCGTTTTCCGAGCATCCAAAGGAGAATCTTCCCTCCCAGATACTATCTGCTATAGAATTTAAGTAGTTGTCAAAAAGCAATTGCTGCTTCCAGAGCTACCCATGGCACAGGATGCATCGCGGACAAGGAATTTTACGGTCCGAGTGCCTAGGAAATCCAAGATCTCGATACACTCCTGCAAATCAGCATCACTTACCAACATCACCCATTCCTCTTCGTCGTCAAGATACTTGAGCTGGAACGTCCCGTTCTGCAGCTGAAACCGCCTCGCAACCTCTTCGTAGAGTCGGGAACACCCTGCAGAGGTATCGAATTTAAAACGGACTGTGTCTTCTTTGTATGTAGCTTTTACGGTCATTTTGGAACCACTGTCCTCGCAGCTCACTTCAGTTTTCAAGTGCTTCGGTTCACCAAAGCTTGGGGAACTCGAGGAGCTGCCATTCATCATTGACCCGGATCCGTTTGATGAGTCCGTCATGCTCGATGATGTGGGTTGGTTATGCTCTCCAACCCCATCATCTCCCGCAACTTGATTGGCACTTTTCATCTTTGCCTCTGTTTCATCGCCAACAACCATGGAGCTTGACCATTGAGAAACAAAACGGGAGTCGGAATTCTCCGACTTGAGGTTACTATTATTTAACCCCCATCTACTACTGCTTCCTTTAATGAGTGAAGAATCTAAGGCGGCATTTCCTGAACCAGTCCATGGTATGTTGTTCATACTAGCAGGCCACGATGGACCTGCATCTAGGGCAGCCAATTTGGAGTCATAGCAGTCTAGGGTAGATTTATGTTCTCCCTTATAAGAGCTTGGCCTAAGAAGATTCGGACAATCCTCTTCCATTTTTATTATAGGACTCCCGCCATCAAAGCAGGAAGCGGGTTGTCCCGCATCCTGGATAAGTGAATCCTTATCTTTGGAAACGTCTTTGCAGGGGAAGAGCGCACTTTTCTGGGTGTCAAAGTCTTGAATGATAGAGCCAGCAGCCAAAAGCCCTCCAGTGGTGGGATCAAATTTTAATCCTCCTTCCACCCCTTGGACAGATTCAAGTACAGTTTGTATTTTCTTCAAAGAGCGATTCACTTTGTTTATCTTGCGGGATGGCCATCTTGAAATACCATGTTGTCTACATATCCGTTTCAATGTTGTTGGACACACTAGAAATGCAAACAAAATTGAACAAATAAATATGGCATCCTAATAAAGGATATCGAACTGATATTTCCATCTCCAGAAAACATAGTATGTCTAAATTAAATAAAGCTCATGTTTTCAATTTTAACTTAGACACCACTACTTGTTCTCCCTTTCACTACAAGTTCACAATCATACTTTAACTATGCCATTGATACTTGATAGGGAACCTCAATTCATCCATGCCAGGAAAAAAAAGGAGTTAATACCCGATTTGGTCCCTCGACTATTATGATTTCACCACTTTGGTCCTCGACTTCCAAACTTGCTCAATTTCAATATTTCATCTCCAACTATGCAATTTTTACCTAAAATAGTCCTTTGTCCAAACCAAAATAGTCCTAATTAGGATCATTTTGGTTAAAAGATGCATAGTTGGGGATGAAACTGAGCAAGTTTGGAAGTGGAGGATCAAAGTGGTGAAATCCTAATAGTCGAGGGACCAGATAGGGTATTAACTCCCAGGAAAAGGTACAAACAGTTCAATTATGAAAGACTCTTACCACCAATGGCTTTAGCAGCATCCTTGAGACTCCCGGAGAAGTACTGTTGAAGAACGCTTAAGCTAACATGCTTCTCTGCCGTACTTCGCTTTTTCTCCATCTGCCTTCTCGGTCCAGTTTTCTATGAATAAATCCATTATAGGAAGAGTTAGTATGTGAGATATAAACAGAACGAATTGAGGCAAAATGTATACAGAATTTCATATTTTGGTAGCAAAAGTGGTGCATGCCTTGTTAGATAAGAAATCATTTAAAACCAAGAATCAAAACCCATCTCTCCACCAAAGTAATCTAATGAAGTTTAAGAAAAATGATTCAATAGCATACCTCTTGATGAGTACCATCGGCACCCGTTCCAGAACTCTCTGAACCAGATACATTTAAATGCACCTCATCAGTAGGATCCAAGGCACTATCTAGCAATGAATGCTGAGAGTTCCTTCTTGACAAGGTAAACGGTGGTAAGTTTGGAACCGATGCATTTGATGCGTTCTGTAGTCCAAACTTAGAACCGTCTCCCCCCTTCAATTCTGCATCAGACACTGTCCTCAAGGTCTTACAAATCCTTTGCATGGTACCAGAGAGGTTATTTAAAAGAAGCTGTTGTTCAGTGCTTCCCTTCATATTGACAGGAAGAAAGAACTCCAAAATATAGTCGGCATTCCCAGTAAAAGTGCTCCGTAACCTAATGGCCACAGCAGCATTTAGGCCAAATTTCCGTGCATGATGAGCAAGTGGATACTCGCTAATGTGGTATTCCTTCACATCAGGGTAAAAAAACGGGTGATTGGACTGAAGAGCTTTCCCAACAATTCCTTGTCCTTCCTCCAGGTAATGTTCTGTGCAGGCATGCACAAATCCTACCATCTCCTTGTCACTGATATAACAAGCGGTACTCTCAATGCAAAGTACGCATTTTTCAATTGAATTTTCAATGCATCCTTTGAAAAGCACTCTTCTAATGTCATCACTGTCTCCTCGCACATAACTACAAGGAATCCATGTGAGAGCAAGCGGCAAACGATGTGCATGACATACAGCTCGCAAAACATCGGTTATTTCTGCTAAAGCAGCTTTTTGATTTGTTGAGAGACACTGCAGAGGAACAGAATCAAATTAAGAAGGCTAGACAAGAAAAATTCGGTGAATATCAAATGAAGCCTGTTGGGTTTTTATAAATGAATGGTAAGCATACGTATATTTAGTAAAAACCTGAGGAGAGAGACTTGGAGGTGCAATGCTCCTCAAATTCACTGCCTGTCAATAGCCAGAATAAGAAATTAGAACATTTTCTTCTGAATATGAGGACAATGTTACTCAAACGTTGTAACCAACCCATCACTCAACACACACAAACCCCATTGAAAGCACTTATCTCCCCCAGCCAAAAATTCCCCTTCCCCAGTCTCTCGTTATAGTGCATCATGATTTACAATCCATCGCTATTCCTCTCTTTGCAATCCATGTGATTTGCAACTAACTCAACCCATTGGCACAAGTGACGATTCCCTCTGGGCCAGCTCCTGTGCCTCTAGGAGAGGGTGGGGATTAGTCAGGTGGACAGACCGTAAGACGGACGGAGAAAGACCCGAAACACCTCGTGGCCCTACCACTGTTGTAGTTGGATTATTCAACATTTTTCCATAGTTTAAAATCATTCCTTTAGCCTTCAAATAACTCATATTGGAGAAAATTTAATACTTCAAGTATGCCTTTACCCAAAGTCAAAAGACAAACAGGTTTATTTAACAATCTTAGCTCATGCACAGAAATAAATTTGAGCAGCATATTGACAATCTTGAAATGAAAAACTAACCTGAAGTGCACGGCACACTTTTTCTATCTCAGAATCAAAATCAGGTTTCTCCTTCACAGTGACAACTTCAAGTACAGCACAACATGGTGTTTCAACTTGATCATCCTCAAAAACTGGCAACGCAATAGAGCCACGGACTTCATGGCTAACAGCATGATGTATGCGCAAATATTCAGTCTCTCTATAGTATGCAATATTTGAAGTCCATTCTGGAATCCTTGAAGAGAATACGCGGCCAGGAAGTCCCAGGACAGAACCTGGTTTGGTCTCGGCATCAAACGTGAACTTTCTTGACACTTCACGATACCCAGCAAGCACATGGTCAAGTAGATACGGCTGTTCATAAGTGCTTAAGAAGAACTTATCACCCTCTTTCATTGGAAACCAAACTTGGGCCAAGATGCCTCCTCCAGATGACCCTTTGAATAATCCCAATGCTGTAAGCATTTTCTCAGCAAGTGGTTCAGAAGGTGATTTTAGGATCATAGGACTTCCAAAATCCACAACACAGTTCTGGCCTTGATTCTTCTTTGCATTAGCAACCGAATCATTCACATCCGTAGAACTAACTAACGAGTTTAACTGGTCATTCTGTTGAAAATTGATCTTCTCCCCTCCACCCTCTGAACTTCCAATGGTATCAGCAGCATCCATCATAGGAAAAGTTCCATTGCTGTGTTCTGTATAATTTAATCCATCAAATTGTGTATATCCCATTGGAGTAAGGGGTGAAAATGCAAAGGAGGCAAGCATTTGATCCATGGTAGCAGGACTATTGCACCATCCAGCATATGCATCAAAATTCATGATGTCCATAGCACTGACATTAAATGAATCATCAGGAGTTGAACACTTTGTACCATCCAATGAGACTTCATCCCCTTCCATCTCAAAGTAACCTATACCCTTCTCCTCTTCCAGCTCCACTTATAAAATTTTCAAAGGAAACCAAATAGTGAAATGCTAGAGAACCCTCAGCAGTGTCAAATTGAACTTTCTCTCCCTAAAATCCCCCCACAGTAGCAGTCCAAGAAAACAATATCTTAACATCAAGTTCATCTACACCCCAGCAACTCACCGTTGTCTCGATTATCTTCCAAATTTGCCAAACTATTGAATCCTAGATCTGAAATATTCCACGCCTGCAATACCATGGATCAAACGTTACATCTAGACAAAATAAAACCCCCAAAAAAATTTAAAAAGGGATTTTTTTTGAAGAAAAGGAGATTAAAGAAGAAGTTTTCAGTACCTCACCGTTAACATGGAAGGAAATTCAAAGAAACCCAAAACGCAGTCAAATTCTGAACTGCGAAGAAAGGTCAAGAGCTATCAATCAAACCCAAACTTCCAAGAACTAATCAAAACCAACAAATCAAGCCAAGACCCACTTCACAAAACTAACCAGAGAACAGAAAGGACGCCCAGATTCGAACACGGAACTCAGGCATAGGGATAATTAGCAGAAAATGAATAGGGAACTTATAGAAGACCCTAACCCAAGTCATTGGACTTGCTGGGTATTATTTCCAAGGAAACTGACATATACCTCTTCTGCTTATAAAGGGAGCAGCAATAGATAAGCTAATTGATGCAACAACAACAAAAATAAAGTGGGGGAATTGTTAGGGATTCTCTGTTTCAGGAAATTTAGGAGTTTGCTTTGCTAAAAATAGAAAGGATGGTGTGCGAATCTAAAAATAGAAAGGATGGTGTGTGAATCAGTTAGAACTTAGAAGGGGGAGAGAGAAAGAGAGGCTGTGGAGCTCTTTAATCTACAGAAGAAGATATGTAGGTAAAGATTGAAGCCAATGGGTGATATGGTAGATTCAGACTACAAAGGGTTGCGTTTTTCCTAATTTTTGTTTAATTTTTATTAGGGATTAATCCAGTTTAAATGAAGGCGGCTGCCCAAATTGTAGAAGTTTGGATGAGCTGAGCTTCTGACATTACATTTTACGGGGCGCTTCCTCGGGAATTGTAAGTTTTTCCAACGGAAATTTTTAATACGGAAATTACTACAATTTTGCAAATTTCACTTCCCTTATTTTGTAAAAGGTAAATTATACTCTATCCGTCCCGTTTATGTATCTGGCGGTTAACGAGCTGGACTGGAATTACTTTTAATTTAAATTTTTATAATATTAAATTTAGTGGGAAAAATGACACTTTCCGAGTTATATACCTATAGTATTTTTCCCCCCTAAATTATTGAAGTGGCTGTTTTTCCCCCTAAAATATTAAATGGACATATTTACCCTTAAACTAAATATTTAATTTATTTTTTTCTCCAACAAATTATGACCATAATTTGGTTCAAACCAAACAAACACTATAGCAACCAAACCGAAATATACCAATTACAATTTAGAATCGAAATTCGATATTTAGAGTTAATTAAAATTGTGAACCGGAACGGACGGTTCATGTTCCGAACTGGAAAAATAAAATACATTTATTGTTGAATTTAGACTATTTTAAAATAAAAAATAAAATTTTAAAATAAAGACGGTTCAAAATCGCGAATCAGATCCGGAACCGCCGGTTCACGGTTCAAGATTCAATTTTTTTGATACATAATTTTAATAAATTGACATTTAAATATTGGGTTCTAGATCTGAATTATAACCGGAAACTATTAATTCGATTGCTTTAGTATCCGGTTCAATTCAAACCGAACCGTAGTCATCCCTACGTATACGCAATAATTTGTTGGAGTAGTAAAATAAATAAAATGTTTACTTTAAGGGTATAAATGTCAATTTAATATATCAGGGGGAAAAAACACCACTTTTAAAATAATTGAGGGGGCTAATGTGCTTACCTAAACAATTGAGGGGGAAAAAATGCTATAAGTATATAACTCAGGGGTAAAAAGTGCCATTTTCCCAATTTAGTGAGTATAAAAAATTTATATATTTAAAAATTATACTAAAAGTACTATTAAACACAACAAATCAAATTTACAATGAGTAAAAGATACTCAAGAAAATAAACAAAGAAGAAAGAGTTGATTTGACCAATAAATAGTAAGTAGGATAGATAAAATGTGTCAGAGAGTATTATGGATCATATTTGACGTTGTAATATATTATTAATAAATATTTATTTTTAGTGTTTTAAAAATAAATTTTTAATATATTAAAGAGTTAATTCCATGAATGTTCACTTAACTATTGTTATTTATTAATTTTTATTCTTCGACTTTCAATTAGATCATAAATAGTTCTTTTACTATTAATCTTTATCAATTTTTGTCCCCAACTTTCAATTTAATCAGAAGTGGTCCATTAACTATTGATTTTTAAAATAAAAAAAAAATTGGTACTCTAGTTAAATATTATTTTAATAAATATTAAATTTAAGGATAAAAATGTAAAAATTTTAGCTCTTCACAATGATGAACTCAATGTATTAAATTTATGAACTCAATTTGTCCATCTCAACAACAAGCTAATTTTACATTATTATTTTTAAATTTAATGTTTATTAAATGGATATTTAACTGAAGGGTCAAATTTGAAACAAAATCAATAGTCAATGAATCATTTATGGTCATATTGAAAATCGATGACGAAAATTGGTAAAGATCAATAGTCAATGGACCATTTATGGTCCAATTGAAAGTCAAAGGATAAACATTGGTACATGTCAATAGACAATAGATCATTCCTGGAATTAATTAACTCCATATTAAAAATAAACTTTTAATATATTAAAAAGAGTTAATGAACGATTTGGTCCCTCAATTATTAGCGAACTGTCAATGTAGTCCCGTAATTGCTTATTCATCGATTTAGTCCCCGAAAATAATTATTTTTAGTCGATTTAGTCCTTCAGGCCGTCTTCCGTCGACGGCCGGAGGGACTAAATCGACTAAAAATAATTGTTTTTGGGGACCAAATCGACGGCCAGAGAGACTAAATCGACTAAAAATAATTATTTTCGGGGATAAAATCGATGAATAAGCAATTAAGGAACAACATTAACAGTTCGCTATTAATTGAGGGACCAAAAATCTAGTTATTTTTAATAACTATTAAAAATAAACTTTTAATTTTTTTGTTGAGTACTAAAAAGTCTAAGCACTGCTACAGCATTTAGATTAGCGTTTTAAGAAAAAAAAATTGTTTACCAAAATGCCCATTCATTAATAATAATAAAAAAAAATAACTATTTTAATATTAGGAGCCTTAGGCTCCCTTTATATTAGGAGCCTTAGAGCAACCCTATTAAGGGGATTTTACCTGACTTTTTCAGATATTCTTGTCACATGGAAAAGAGAGGGGGAAGAGAGAGATGAAGGGAGGTGCTCCTGCAAAGACCCAAGATTTTGCAGTTTGTGGATCCCATCTTGGAAAGAGAGAGTTGCGCCTCAAACTGAGTGAGGCGCATAAATCTATTTTTTATTTTATTTTTTTTATTTTCATATTTTAATTTTTTTTTTCTTTTCTTTTTTTTCTCCCCTCTCATTTTCTATTTCCTAGTCACACCTGCAAAAACTATTCAAAAATCTCACACTATTGAGGATGCCCTTAGGATCCATTTTTGTTGCCCATCAGATGTGGGAACATCGAATGGGAAACTTTCAAAGTAGGAGGGGCGTTGGACCTAAGGATCCATTTTGTTGCTCATCTGATGTGGGAACATCGAATGGGCAACTTTCAAACGCCCTTCGTCCACAAATCTTTAGATGTGATGATCCCACATCACTATTGGTCCTAGTGGGGTTAGGAAACAAGTCTAGAGGTAGGGTGAATAGACTTGTTAGATTTTTGAAATCGATTTACGAAACGTTAAGGCAACCAAGAGGTAATTTTAACGACTCGAGAGTATGCACAGTGGAAATTGTTAACCCCCTTTTTAAAAATAGTTTACACATTTTTGTATTTATTAAATTTATGTTTGTTGTTGGCAGTATGCAATATGAAAGTAGTAAATAAAAGATAGAGAGAGAGAGAGAGGGGTTTTATAGTGGTTCGGCTAAACCAGCCTACTCCACTATTCTCCTTAAACCCAAAAGAGGTTTGCACTATCCACGAGTACAAAGAAACCACCCTAGCCTTGAACACTAAGCCGGCCTTGAATGTCTAGATTTTTCAACTCCACACGAGTTTACCCTGCCTCTTTCTACTTCGACGAGTAGAGTTACAATTGTTGAAGATAAAATTCTTCATTTCTCCAACTAAGAACACTTGGCTTTTGAACGTCTTGAACTTTGCGTGTAAGCAGCACAAGCTTCTTGTAAAAACTAGATTTAACATGCAGATTTGATCTCTTTCTCTCATTGGTCGCTAGATGGTAAAGATTGCTTGAAGGTTTTGAGCACTTGAAATTATTTTATTGACCAGTCCCTTCTTCAGTCTTAGAAGAGGGTATTTATAAGCGCATTGAAAAAGGTTCGTTTGAGGGAAACCAATTTCAAACGGCTATTAACTAGTGGGTAGAGACCGGCAGGTAATTCGGATGGTAGGTAAGCATGTCAAATTTTTCAATCCCGTTAAAGACTTAATTTGCGTTAAACATATTTTTTTGTTCTGCACAAAAAAGTCAATGCCTTAGGAAATATCTTTCTTGGAATGTGTTCCTAGGACTCACTTTGCCTTGGACACATTTGCTTAGTATTTAAGGTTTCGAACTATTGGCTCACGTAATGTCTCAAGCAGTTCTTGTATGAATAGTTAACTAGGTTAATGTTTCGAACCTTAAACCTCTCGGATACGAATGGTTGACTTTACATTTCCTCCCTTTTACACCTCGAAAGGTAGGTAGATCTATCTTTCGACCTTTGCAACCTTTTGGCAACGAATGGTTAACCTTACCATTTGTCCTACTAACACTTGGAAATGTAGGCCCTTCCACCTCTCGACATTTGCAACTTTTCGGTCTTGTAGTATTCTACACATTGAATCTTCAATCTTCTAGTCTTCTTCAATTCTTCTTGAACCATTCGAGAGGTAACTATTTAGGTTACTCTACGAATCGTTTGTTGAGACTGACCGAAACGTGACCCTTTGAGTTACCATTCAGATATTTTGTTTAACCGAATTGTGACTACTCGATGTACCATTTGGTTTGTTCGAATGTTGAGCAGAAATAAACGTAAGTCCAAAAATTAAAATAATTGGGGTCTAAAATTCCTATCATTTGGTATCATCAAAATCTAAAATACAATGTTCCTAAAAATTTCTCCCTTTTGACGATGTCAAAACTTATACCTAGATTATGAAGTTGTAATTATCCATGAAAAGGATTTTTCATTACAAACAACTCATAATTGAGTTTGACAATATGAAATTCTAGGAATTTAAATGTTGGAAATACTTAAACTCCACGCAACCCACACAAAATATTTTATTTATCAACTCAAAAATTACAATTACATAGATTTGACAATAAAAGCTCAAATTAAGTAAACATTACAAATTTACTCATTCCGTATCCTATAGCCATGTTCTTCTTGTTGCTTCGTCGCTTTGGTTGTTGCTAAGTCGAAGATCTTGTTGATCTGCTCTCTTGTGTCCCTGATGTTATCTCTTAATACCAGGTGGTCAAAGCAGTTTGGGATCCTTAAGCTTAGATAATTATGGAAAGCTTCAAGGATGTCACTTTCTACAACAACACTACATCTCCACCATCTGATTAATTCAGCAGAATTCATTCCATCTGCGAATGAAACATTGTTGTCCCTCAAAATTTCAAAGATAGCGCTGGTAAGAGTTACATCTGGCTCATTCCTTGTGATTCTCCTAAGGGAGTCAAATCTAGTTTTAATTCTCCTCTCGGCTTCAGCAGCTTCAACACGTTGTCTTTTCTTCGCTCATTCATTTAATCAAGCATTTTCTGTTTCTCAATAGCTTGATTACGAGAATGAACATAG